CCCCAAAACCCCAAAACCCCATTAGAGCTAATCTAGAAGAAATAATCCATTAAAATATAGCATAAATTACATTTATAATAATAGTATTCAAAGAGTTTGATGGTGCAAGTGAAAAAGTCAAAGCTTTTAGCAATAATCACATTATTCGCCGTTATGATGTTTTTAAGCAACTGCTAGAAGAGCTACTAAACTTTGCAATACGTCAAAGCAGATGGTATTTACTCACTCAAAGCAGAGTTTTTCAGCAGTGTACTTTAAGTGCTGTTTCCAAAAGTGTTGGAATATGTTAGAATAAATTTCTTTCAGAATAGGTCAATGGAGGACTGGATTCCATTCTACGTATATCGAATGAAAGATTCGACATCTATGGATGACTCAGTTTACTTGAAGTTAAAGATCACAGATTTTAACATAACTTCAATGAGTTATAGTACTAGTCAAGAGTCCTCTGGCATTTATCTTATCGAGTCCATTCAGAATCTCAAGTACTATGTGCAGAATATAGATTTGAGAGCAGACTTTAACTTGCATGTCAATTTCACAGGCTTAGTTAATGATAATACTTACTTTATTCAAGAGATTCAGGACTAGGTCTATCACGGAAGTTTTTACTTGACAGAGACTAATCTTTCAGTAAGCTAAAAGTTCAACGTCTCCAATGATGGAGATATCAAAGTCTACATTCCTTCATTGAGTTTTACAGTAGCACCAGACAAAGTTGACCTTAAGTTCTAAGAGGAAAGCACTTGTGAATTCATAAGATCTGTTAGCGGGTCTATTAGAAACTTAAAAAACTTTGCATTCAACAACTCAAATGATATCGCAATTGAAAATAAAGACCAAATTCAATAATTTCATGAAATGGCCACTTAACTGCTCACTGAATTAATATATGAGAATGAGTACTTTAAGGTAGAGACCAAATTCGTTAAACCTGATGTGATACCTTAGAATCCCATTATTATGGCTGAGTATATATCCTACATTAATGATGTCAATATCAGTATTAAGGTCAACGAATCTAAGTATCTGATTGATAATGAGAGATATGATGATGCTTATTTACCAGTATTTGATACTAATGGGATGGATCTTTAGCTTATAATATCAGAATAGCTATTAAATAAGATAAGTACTATAATATTCAACACTACAGTGTATGAATAAGAGAGTCCTTGGATTATTGAATCGGATTAAATCTACTTTTAAAATGCAAATTAGCAAATAATAAACTAAACTTGTACCACAGATATCCTTGAAATGATGCTTCCTGGAATTACTAAAGACTATAAATCAGGAGTTAAATGCTTTATGCAAGGAAAATTAAAATCTATTGGGAATTTCAACATCAACACTGGTAGAATTTACGCAAAGGGTAACTAGTTTAGAATTTTGAAAATAATAACAATTTTGTAGATTGCGTCACAGCTGAGCTTTTAGTTACAATTTACACTAACATTTCAGCAAAAGATATGCCAACACTATTGAAATTCGAAGTAGACTTCTCAACTATCTATATTTATGTATGCTTACCCTTTCTAAGTCTTAATAAATTTAGCTTAAAATGGATATGACTAGTATATCTTTCTAAGTCTACGACCTCCAGCCTTCTTAAATGAGATTGGTAAATGGTCCAGTGAATCATCATTTCAATTTCACATCGTATATTTCTTATAATAATGCAATTAATACATAGTGATACTGTGATACATTTTTGGAACGCTACTACTAAAGCGGCAACGTTGAGAAACTTCAATATACTAGGCTAAATTGCAATCCCTAATCAGTTTTACTCTTGGATTAGCCCTGACCTTAGAGGCAGTGTCAAAAATCTTAATATAGATCTCTACGATAAATACCTGATTACAAACATCTTACCAGATTATACTTCTGAAGCTATCATCAAACTTATGGTAGATTATGTAAAAAAAAAGATAATTGAAGAGATATTTGGAAGTAGCAAGATCTTCGACTTCCCTAATAGTGATTTACATAAAGTAGTGTCTAGATTATTATTTATGAGCCTTTGATTACCAATCGAGATTTTTAATATCTATTAATTGATTATTAGAGAAAATAAGAATTAACTATTTATTATTGATCTGAAATTACGGGGTTTTGGGGTTTTGGGGTTTTGGGGTTTTGGGG